CCAATGCTCTGCCGCCACCTGGTGGCCAACCAGTCTCTCCTCGCCCTGCTCGGAGTCGACACCCTGTCCAAGGTCGTCCTCCAAGGCCGACTCATAAGCCCCCTCGCTGTCGGAGTCTGGCGACAGCTCTAACAGCTCCTGCCGGGCCACAACACGGGGGGTATCCCAAATAGATGATGATAAGCACTGCTCTGCATAGGGTAACTCAAAAGCACTTCATGATACACGAAGGGATACACATTGTGGATAGCTTGGCTTAACCTGCAACACAGTTGGGATGGGGTACACTATGTTGTGTGTTTTAAATATTGTGACAAAGCTGCTACTTCGTTTTTCCTGCAACTTGGTGTTCACAGTTTCACAACCCCAGAGGGCCACAAGCCCCATTCGAGATGTTCAGACTGGGGGAGTGCAGTTGAAGAAGATGAAATGAGGACTAACGTCAACAGAGAAATGGCAAGGTACAGAGCTGCAATTTGTTTAAATTCAATTTGTCTTACTTAAGGTCAAAAACATCTTTTCTTTGAGATGGGGAGATCTAGTAAGGTAGGGAAGGTATTACCCCTTTTCCGTGTAGCATGCACTTTTGCGTTCAAAATAGAAAACAATTTTGTGATGTAAGACTGAGTTGGAGAATGTGCTATAAAAAAGCCAGTCCTTGAGGATAAATCCAGTAGGTCAGGAGAACGTGGGTAAGAGTGTTACCATCTAACAAATGTGAGATTATTGTTAATTGTTACATTTATTAAATAAACACCAACTATGCTGTAGGAGAACAGCACTGTAGCAATACGTGCACTGAAAATAACTTTCTTTAAAAAACAAATGTTTTACAGATACAAAAGAAAGCTTCTGATAAATGAATTTGGAAGAGAAAGGAAGACCTCTACTGGAAGGTAAAAAAAAAACATTGTTCACAGCAAATCTACCAGGGATGATCTGTGAAATGGAGGCTGATGAGAATGAATAATTGAAGCATGGCTATATTAAAAGTGAGTGGGAATGAGAAGATAGGAGGGAAATGCAGAAAAGGGGAGACATTTGCCATGATAAGGGCAGAATAGCACTAAAAGCATAGCTGGGCCCCCAAATAAATTTCTTTGGGTTTGGGTCTGAGAATGCAAAGCTATGAAACAGGAATAAATGAAAAATAAAACTGTATTTTCCAGTTCGGATTCCAAGGAATCTGCAGCAGCCGTGGAACTGGAGACTGACGAGGCTGTTCTAATGAGGAGACAAAAGCAAATAAATTATGGGAAGAATACATTGGCATATGACAGATATATTCAAGAAGTTCCTAGGTAAGCTCTCTTTACTCACAGAATGGAGGTTTATTTTCAGTACAAAGTATAATTTAATTTGTAAGCATTGGGGCAAACTTAAGGTTTTGGTGTAAAGAAAATGATCTTTTCTTCCTAAGAGGTACCTACATCTTTTATTCAGTCTCATAAATCACCGGAATCTTGAATCAGAGGCAAAAAATCTACTTCTAAGAAAGAAACACATCCTTGCTTTTGCTGGGGAAAGGGGAGCAAAAGGGAAAAACGATAACTGATTTCTGGCTCACCCGGTTTGTAGAAAGTTGCTACTATAATTTCTCATTTCTGTTCTCATGAATGGTGACGTTGAAGCCTGTGGCAGAATATTCTGAGAAGCTGGATGTCTCTGATGTCAAATTTGCACTAAATTATTCCTCTGTAAATATTGAAACAAATATAAACTACAGTGGGGCATTGCTGAGGGGAGGGTGGCGTAGGCTCATTGGAAGACGAGCAGTCCTGTGTCTGAACAACCGTGCAATTAGAAGGCCTCTTTTATTTGCTTTGGAAAAAATTATCCAGAAATTGCTGCATTGCTAAGTTGTTGAAGGTTGGTGTTGTGCTAAAAGTAGCTGAACTGTTTCTTTCCAAGGTGTCTACGGGTTCCAGGGGTCCATCCAAGGACTCCAAATAAATTTAAAAAGTACAGTCGGAGATCTTGGGATCAACAGATCAGGCTTTGGAAAGTTGCGTTGCATTTTTGGGACCCTCCCCACGAAGAAGGCTCCGATGCACAAGGACTGTAAGTAGCAGCAGTGTCTCTAAGGGCGTGTAAATAGTAAGAGCCTTTAGACCTTGAGGGCCATTTTAATTCAGGAGTCATTCAGCAGTAGCAAGTTTCTGAAATTTTGTTTCTTATTTTGTTTCTTATCAAGTTTAGCTTAAGGGCAGCATAATTCTTTGTTGTGGAATTGAGTTCAATAGCCGTAATACAGGTAGGCCTCACTTGATGCCTGCCTTGTTTAGCAATTATTCAAAGTTACAAGTGCTGAAAAGTAACTTTATGACTACTGGTCCTTCCATTTTGTCCCCCGGTGTGTGATCCACAATTGGGCCCTTTGCAGCCAGCTGGCGTTTGTGATGGTTGCAGCCTCACAAGGTCACGTGACTGCCCTTCGTACACTTTTTTGGATAAACCGTCAGTGGAGACGCTGGCAATGAAAGGGCGACCTGTGGTCATGTGATTTCTTGCTTAACAACAGGAACAGCCACATTGGAGACAAGGCTTTAAGTCCATTGTGGTCCTGTGGTGCTTTCACTGGCCCACATGGCTTAGCAAGATTGCTGCTAGTCTCAATTGTGATTGTTAAGTGAGGACTACATTTTCTACAAAATGTAGGCAGCAATAGTGCTATGTATGTTGATTAAAAGGTTCCTTTTCTTTGTAATGAATTAACGGTTTGTCTTCTTTTTACTTCTTAAAAAAAAGTAAACAGTTTAACATGATGTACTTAGCCGGTTATCAGAATTTTGTGCCACCTCCGGAACATAGTTGGTGGACTAGAGCAGTGTTTCTCAACCTTGGCAACTTGAAGATGTCCGGACTTCAACTCCCAGAATTCCCCAGCCAGCGAATGCTGGGGTTGAAGTTGAAGTCCAGACATCTTCAAGTTGCTAAGGTTGAGAAACACTGGACTAGAGTACGTGCAGTTATTTTAAAACAATTATTTTTCTGAAGGTTTTGTTTATATTGCTATCTACTTGTTTAAATACAAATGGATCTTTACATTAATAAAACAAGTTGCTGGAATACTTTTCTCGATTATTTAAATGTAATACTAGAAATCATTGGAAATTACATGTGATTTATACTTACAATTCATATTTGCCTAACTTTTCCAGCAAATATTGAGGTCACTGGGTAAATCGGGAGGCAGGTTTAGAAAGGCTAAACAATTTAAGGTAAATTCTCTCTTTTATTCCAACATTAGAAATACGATTTCTAATATTGCTAAATCCATGTTTTATTTTTGCAGTACCCCTGTTGATCTTGGTGATATGGAAACAGAATCTGTAGGAAGTAATTCCCAAGACAGCAATGTAAGTAACTCTAAGCTTGGTTTAAATTGTAATATTGTGTTAGCTTGCATAAATTCCTAGTTGTGTAGTGTCTGTAGGAGTGGTCTATCCCTGGCCATTCCAAAGTAGTTTCCCCCCCTCTTACCTTTCCCTCTACTATTTTCTCACCCTCATTTAATTTCCTCTTTTTGCTTCATTTCCCAACCATCTTGCATGGTGTCTTTTTTCCTTCCCTTTATGTTTTCTGCCATTAGCAGTCACTGCTTTAATTAAGTGGGGCTTAGCCAAGCAGGCGTCTGTTGTGGAAGATGCATTGGATGTGCTACAGTGACACCCCCTTCAGCCATTGGAATAATTTTGACTCATGTATGTCATTGCAACTGTCCGAGTAAAGTTTAAAATATTTTCTCCAGAATAAAGCTGTTAAGTTTTTGGTGGGAAGTGGTCAGGAAAAAAGAAAGGAAGTTTATACCTCCTGAGCGAAGGGAGGTCCAAATTAATAGGACATGAATGAGTCCGTGGTGTGTATAGAAAAATCAGGTGTAAGTATGCACCGGGTATTGTCACGTATAGTTTTATTGAGAATAATTGTGATTTCTTGAGGGCAGAATGTTCACTACAGGTAGTCCTTGAGTCATGACTACAATTGAGCCTGCAATTATGGTCATAGGTTGGGACGGTTGTCAAACGGGTCACCGTATGACCAGACCTCCTTTTGGGTGGTGGTAGTTAAAGCAAGAACCCTGGTTGTTCAGCAAACCGCATGGCTGCTTAACAGACTCATTGTTTTCTGTGGGGTGGTATTTGCTGGAAAACGGGTAAATGTGGCAAAACCACAAATCATGGTCATGAGGCCGTGGGGGGGGCTGCAAACAGCCATTTGAGCCAGTTGCCAATAACCCAAAATGGGGCCACATGGCCACAAGGTGTGAGTGTGTGTGTGTGTGTGTAAATATCAGAACTTTGAATCCATGTGGTAAGTCCCATTTGGAGGCTCCATTGTATACTTGAGGACTACGTGTACTTCTGAGTATTGAGAAGTATGTATGAAAGTATTTTCTTTTATCAGGGATGGTATAAGGGCTCCTACCACGGACTAGAAGACCTCCAAAGTCCCCTCCAGTCCTAAGATTCTAGGCTTATTGATGTAGTGCCCAATAAATGCAGCATATTTCTTAAGTAAAATTAACCAATACTATTATGAAGTTCCTGGTATGTTAATTTGGTAACCTTTTATTGCAGGTGAATTGTACAGACACCAACCAAAGTGAGAAGAAGTATTGAGCATCAATTGGATGACTAAATCCAGCTAGAGGCACCTTCTGGTATGAAGCTTATGTGACCGGTAGAATCGTCTCTCCTGCAGGATCCGTTTTCAGGGAAGGGACACCTCCAGTAGATTCAAACAGAAATAAGAAATTTTACTGTGTTACCATCTAGAGTTGCAGCAACTTTTAAGATGAAAATCAATGTTTCTCTGACCTCCTTTGAAAACATGAAAATGGGGTCATATATAATTGGCTAATTGATGTACCTGCATATGAAACAGGTGGCTTTGAAAGCAATCGGATTATAGTTAAGAAAATCCGGAATGGGCAACGTTGCCATAGTTTTAGCACTTGGTTAATGTTTTTTAACCATGACACAGGTGTAGACAAGGAAAGAGGTGGTTCTGCATCCTGCCCTGCCCTGTAAGTTTTACAATGAGGATGTATGCTTTTCAAATTATCTCTCTCAGAATTACCAAACAATTGGCAATAACCTTTTCCCAGGAGGCGCAGACCTCTTCCAGAAATAAACGGCCTCTTTCAAGTGGCACACCTCGCCGAGTTTTAAACCGACAATTGTAAATAGTTTTCTGCGGGGCTGTGTGTACTTTTAAGGAAGCATGAATGAAGAGAGTCTGGGAATGTTTTTATTCATTCTTAATATTTTTTTTTTACTACTGTTGCTGTTTTTGTATGGAATAAAGTATAAATAAAGCAAGGCTGTCTTTGTAGGACAGGAATAAAAATCTGTCGTTTTCAGGTATTCAGAAAGGAGGTGCAGATAAAGATCCAAGTAACTCAAACCAGCTGTTTGCGTAGCTAATTGCGGTTGTAAGTGAAGGACTAACTCTAGCAGTGACTGGATATATCTGAATTCTTTAAAAAGTCATTTTGAAGTTGCATCTGTATTCAGGTAGTTTGGGTTATTCCACTGAATTTAATCAGATGGGCTCATTTCTGAGTGAAAGAATAAATGAAATTGGATTGTAAAATGAATGCCTTTGGTGCAAAACTTTTGGAGTATCTGACTCAAATCTGCAGGCCCCAAAACAACTTTTAAGTCAATCCCCGCAACAGTGAACTGCACATGTTTCAACTCAGAAACGGATTTTACTTTGCAAGAACTAATGGAGTAGATGTGGCTGGTCTTGGGAGGTGCGACTGCCAAAACCCCCCCTCCCTTTTCCTGGTCATTGTTGGCCTGTTTTGCTACAGCTGAACAATTACTGATTGGATTTCTGCTTTCTGGAGTCAATAGTCCATTCACCCTTCAAGAAATGCCCTTCGATTATGTGGAGTGGAGCATTTGTGCTTAAGAGCATTATTGCTCTTAAATAAGCAGGCACACCAAAAACGGCTTGGGAAATCCCAGTGTTTAATTGGGTCAAATTGCATGTGCTTTTTTGATATCACCTCAGGAGACGGCATCCTTTCATGTGCCTTCCTGACAAATGCCAGCTAAAATTGTTTATGCACACGCGCACACAGAGAAAGTCATTTTGGTTGCACAAAACTAATTTATAAGAAGAGGGTGGGGAATCCTTCAGAAAACTCCTTTGTAAGATTTTTAGCTCAGAGCTAATTTGGATGGAAGTCTCCTGCTTGTCTGCCTTATAATTTTGTAAATGCTATGTAGTTGTTCAACTAGAAGCCTACGTCTCCTATTTTGAACCACTCTTATCTTTTGACTTCCTGAATTATATAAAAGATTTGAGGGGACACCAGCAAAATATCTCTGAGAAAATTGATCTGGTGGCTGTAGAGAACAACCTCAAACCACAATCAACTTTTTATTAATCTAATCTTTTATTTTTGAATACACACAAAACACAACAAACACCACAAAAATATCTTCCATTACAAATTGTAAAAAGTGTGTCAATTGGTTACAAAGAGCTTTCATGCATCCCTTCCGCAGTCATCACCTACAATTTGTATCAAGTTATATATTTTAAATCAAATATATTTATATATATATTACTACCATCATACCTCAATCTTCATATGACTATAATTGTTTTTACATCCCTTTATATAAAATATTCCAAAATTTAAAAACAAAATCACATGATGGCATTCCCTTATCTACTTTCAATATCATCCAGCAACATTACATCTTTATAACACTTTCTAAATAAAAATTAATTATGTTTAATAAAGTTTCTAGACTTCTTAATCACTGTTTACAATTTATATCCAATTCCCCTTTTATCATATCAATACAAATATTACATTATTATCAATCATTTATTTAACAATATCTGTCATTTCATATATAGAGAGCTCAGAGCTCCAAGATCGTACGTTGTACTGTTGCGACGTCAGCGCCTGTCTCTAAACCACAATCAACTTTTGTTTAGCCAAAGTTTAGCTTCCGTACGTTATCGGATTCCCTGGGCATAATTCATGCTTGGCTAATGGCCTTTGCATTCTCAGCTTTGGTTTGCTGCATGCATCTACGGGGAAATTTGGGTGTGTTTGTGCCGTTTTTCTTTCTACATGTTTGAACCATTTTGCCTTGTGATCGACTCCCGTGTCGGCTAACTGAAATGAAGTCCTTTTTCTCAGACACATTCAAACAGAGCAAGCAGTGATGGGTAATCCATTTGATTCCCAATATTGAATCAAGGTGTTTGATGGGAAAAAACTAAATTTCCCAATTTCCCTGTTACTTAGTCCGCCACACAGCTGGCCTTTGTGGAGGTGGAGATACAGGTAGTCCTCAACATACAATTGTGCTCCAAATTTCCATTGCTAAGCAAGACAGTTAAAGTAGAGCCGAGGTGGCGCAGTGGTTAGGGTGCAGCACTGCAGGCCACTTCAGCTGACTGCTATCTGCAGTTCAGCGGTTCTAATCTCACCGGCTCAAGGTTGACTCAGCCTTCCATCCTTCCGAGGTGGGTAAAATGAGGACCCGGATTGTTGGGGGCGATATGCTGACTCTGTAAACCGCTTAGAGAGGGCTGAAAGCCCAATGAAGCGGTATATAAGTCTAACTGCTATTGCTATTGCTAAAATGAGTTTTGCCCCATTTTATGACTTTCCCTGCCACAGGGAAGTTCAATGAATCACTGCAGTTAAATTAGTAACACAGAGAAGTGAACATGGCTTGTTAGATAGGTTGCAAAGTTGATGACCCATCGTAAATCCGTGCCAATTTTGATCATGTGACCATGGGGACACTACAACAGTCCCCATGGAGTTAAACAGGGTTAAAATCGGACATGAGTCTCTTTCTTTAACCGAACGGCCCCTTTCTCCTAGCTCTGTTCTGCAGTCTGCACGCGTTTTGTGTGGTAGTTGATTTGGGGTCAGGTATCTAAGGGCCCATTGCGAAAGGGATTCCTATAAAAGCTCCTGAAAGTGGCTGACGCTTTTGAGGCTAAGTGGATCGTACGAAATCTTCCCTTTTTTTAAAATAACGCGAATATATTTATCTAGACATGCAAAATGAGTTTGGAACAAGATAGAGCAGTGATGGATGAGCGGACGCTCCCTTTGCCAACTTTTATCATTCCTTCTTGTCAGTTATGGAAATGATTTTTAGAAATTGAAAGATGGAAAAAAAAATGTGAAAGGTTAGAAGAAAGAGGAAAATTGGATTCCACGTTTCTTTCCAATGTTATCTGACTTTTAGCCTTACCCCCAAGGGATATGAAAAGGAAAGTCTAAAGGAATCCTTTTTTGCAGCCCTTTTCTTCCAGCAAGAGCAGAGTCTCTTTCAGCATGTGAGAATGTTGACATAACTCGATTCAGCAGATGAGAGAAAGAACACACGTGGCCCAAACATACATCTTTACAGTGTGCAAAAAGTAAAAATAGGTGCTATCTTTGCAGTACAATGAATGCTATTAGAATCCAACACTAGATGGCGCCAATGTTCCAGAAATTCAAGTTGTAGTCTACCTTGTGCGCAGGTGAAATCAAAGTTTCCTTGCTCACCTTCCCCTTCTGGGTGAGAATTTTCCCCCCTGAACAATGTACATGCCTAGATAGCGAAAAGTGTGTCTCGTCTAGTGAAGAGAAGGATTAGGAGTGATAATCTTCCTGTAATTGAGGAGCTGTCACGGAGAAAAGAGGGTCAACTTATTTGCCAAAGCACCTGAGGGCAGGATCAAAAGTAAAGGATGGAAACCTATCAAGGAGAGATCCAACCTGGAATTGAGGAAAAACTTCCTGACGGTGCCTATTTGAAACAACAACATTATTATAAAGGGCACGTGGTTTTGAAAGCAGGGAGTGGAGTGTTTCCTTTTATTGTGTAACAGGGAATTCTGGGGTGACTTTATAATAAACCCATGAACATTTTGGGGATACCTTAGCATTGGCTACTGTTGAAAGTGATTTTCTGCATTTGCTCCAACTACATTGAGGCTGTAAGTAACACAACAAGCTTCCTTCGTTTTTAAAACCAATATTTAGAAAGAAATATATTCAAAGACTTCAACATGAGCCTGAATTATGCTCCTAAAATATGGGATTTCACACCGTCTCATGAAGACCTTTGGTTCTGTTCACCTGGGAAGTGGCACAGGATAATCCTACTTTAGTGGGAAGGAAGTTGACACTTGACTTTTAAGAAATTGGTCTAGGCTGTGATTGTGTTCTTACAATTCTGGATTGAAACCACCAGATGGTATCAAAGATCATAGAAAAACATATCCACCTCCTGGTCCATGCCAGGTTCTGAGCTAGTCTTTTGCTCTCTTTCTCCTACATTTCTTGCAGAATTGGAAGTCTCAGATGAGATCTAACCAAATTTCATGGAAGCTGTTATTGAAGGTTATTTACTAGAAAGAGTGCAGAGAAGAGCAACAAAGATGGTGAGGGCACTGGAGGCTAAAAAAAATGAAGAACCGTTGCAGGAATTGGGTATGTCAAGTGTAGTGAAAAGCAGGACTAGAGGTGACATGATAGCAGTCTTCCAATATTTGAGGGGCTCCTACAAAGAAGAGGGGGTCGACCTATTCTCCAAAGCACCCCAAGGCAGGACAAGAAACTGGATTGAAACTAACCAAGGAGAGGCGCAACCTAGAATTAAGGAGGAATTTCCTGACGGAACAATTAACCAGTGGAACAGAAGTTGCCTTCAGAAGTTGTGGGTGCTTCCTCACTGGAAGAAGAGATTGGTCATTCATTTGTCTGAAATTGTACGAGGTCTCCTGCTTGAGCAGGGGGCTGAATTAGAAGACCTCCAAGGTCCCTTCCAACTCTGTTATTCTGATTAGGGCACTCAACACATTTTATACAGTAGATATCAATTTAGGCACACCAATTAACTTCCACGCACAAGCAGGCAATCATCTTAAGTCAACATCCTGGGTTTGATTTTTTTTAAAACTCGGTATCAATATGTGATCTCTGAAAGGACAATACTAATAAAATGTAACACAGCCCTGACACAAATTGAATGTTTCAGACATATTCAAATCCCAGCAAATCTTTACATCTCCAAGAAGTCCTTCAACCCGATATCCTTTAAAAAAAAATCGATCATGTGGTTATTGGATAAGTAAAATATGTGATTGTTCAGCACATAAACACCCTTTGTTAAATGTGTCCATCAATAGACAATCCGTATAAATGATACTAACTATCTTCAGAGGCATAATATCACCTTTATTGATAAAATAAATCTCCGAAAGACAGATCAAATGGACGTCAACTAACCATGCATGACATTAACAGGAATTAGCCTGAAAGTAACCCACACGGGACAAAGGATTTTCAGTCAAAAGCCATCGTC